TCGGTCATACAACATGTATTAACCTAATCAATTAATGTGATTTCCTTTGATTATCAAACCCAACTCCAAAATATTTACTTTTCTGTTACACAAATAAAGCAAATATTGACATTTTTGGCTTCTTGTGGGGGAATTTTTAGCACTTTCGTAAAAAAAAAACCAAAAAGGATTCAATGATTAATATGTTGTACATATTGGAATAATACTGGAGAACTTTTTTTTTCTTTTTAGCCTTTACATGTCTTGTTTGACAGCAATCTGTCCTGATTCTGCAGAATCACACTCCTGCCGTGACTGATCATGTACCGGCAGCTGGTTCCAAAGTTTCCTGACTGGGCGGGTCGCGTTTCAAGGGTTTCTCCTGAGTGCTGAGTCGACACGAGGACAGCGAGCGCTCTGGTGTAACGTCCCAGCGAGAGATAACGACGACACAACGGCAGCTTTACTCCAGCGTGTTTCACAAAGGGCAGACTTCAGAGGAATCCAGAGAGCTCCAACAATGACTCAATACTTAATGACGGGTTGCGTCTGAGCTGCTGGAACAGAGCGATCCAGAGCAGGTGTGACACAATACTGTCAGCAGATAGCCAAGAACGTTCAGAAAACTATTAAACTAAGCCCAGAAAACAATATTACAGCACAACATGAGAGCTGCAACATAGAGCTAGTATCACTATGGGTAAATATGACTGTCTTTTAAATCATTTTAGTTGTATTTAGCATGGTTTTAAAACGTGGTAACGCCCACTGCTCTCACCTAAGACACCGTATGACAACAAAGACACCCAAATATGTTCCGTTTACTCGAATAAAAAGAACGTGAATACAGGAAATATTAACGTCTGGAACCATCAAGTGACTTTTAATCAGTTATTTTAGTTCATTTTCCAGCTTTTTAATGCTACAGAGGTCAGCTCAGGGGTAAGGTGTTGTTGTTCAGGTAGAGCGGTGCAGAGGAGGGGCAGCAGCAGCAGCTAACTATTAACACCTGAGCCACTCCGATTACACAATCAGCGACTGAAACAACAGCCTGGCAGCAAACACAACTCCACAGAGATCCCACAAGTTCAATCTAAGACATTTTCAACACAACAGAGTGGAATTTAGTCGCTGTTTCACAACGATATCAGCCACAAAAATGAAGGAAGAACAGCAGGGATATTATGTCCTGGAATTAATTAATACTGTATTATATTTTTAGTATTTCCCAGCAGCATGTAATAATAATGATTCCTAATGTCATAATTAATTTAACCTTGACCTGGATAAGCACAGAGAAGAGCTGGATGGTAATAAATTCATTAAAGGCATCAAAGACGACTCTATATAATGATATAATTGTGTTTTTTTGGCAGGTGTTGCCATTTTATTTAGAATACAACGCTTTAAAGTCAAAATTCAGTTCGATATTTACAGATTTAAAACAACCTGTCGGGTAGGAAACCTTAAAAACAGGGACTGTTAGACGAGGAGGATGAAATTAATTTTTAAAACAATTGTTCAGCCTTACGTTTGATGCGTTTTTGGGAGAATACTAAATTCAACGCTTCTTTTCAGGACCTGCATTCACCTGAACTTTATGTGATTTTAGGTTTATTCGGGGAGTCTGAAGATGTTTTGGCCTATATGGAGAAAAGTAGGTTTTGATCTCGTGTTCATCTCAGTCACGTATATGAGGAAGAAAAACTGAAAGAATAAAATCAGAACACCACAAACTACAGCCTTAAAAAATTCCCGTTTAATCTCATTCTTCAACCCTTGTTTTCAGCTGTTTCACTGTTGTCCACTTTTGGTTTCTCTTTTCTGGCCGCTCTGGTTTGAACTTTGGTTCCTCTTTCACCGTTTTGCTTTCACACGTCTACCTTTTCTCTTTAAATCCAGCCAGCGGGCTTTACTGTTGCTGTCCTGTTATTAACTTTCTATCTGCTCTCTCCTCGTTGTGCTTTGCAGGTATTTCTGGTTCTGGATAGGTTTGATCTGCAACTACTGATCCCACAAATCTGTCTAGTATTTATATTCTCTTGTTTCCTGTCTGGTTGTCTCTGCTCTCCTTTACTTCTTTGTGCTCTTCTTTATCCAGAAAATTTATCCTAACCATCCAATCTCCTCTTCAGTGTCACCAATATGCTGCTCAATGAGAACATCTGGACTTATTGTGGTTTCCACGATTGAATCTGTAGCGTCTAAACCTTTACCTTTTGGGTAATTTGTTGGCCAATACAATTTTGTAGACTCTTAACATTTAAGTTAGTCAGGTCACTTTGTATTATTCAGAGTAGAGTAAGAGTTTTAATCTTAACATTTAAATTGGTCTGGCATATTTGCATTACTGCTGAGGCGTCTCAGTGGTTAGCACCGTTGCCTCGCAGCTAGAAGATCGTCGGTGAGGACACCCGGGATCTTTCTGCATGGAGTCTCCATGTTCTCTCCGTGCAGTGTGGGTTCTCTCCGGGTTCTCCGGCTTCCTCCCACTCAGTCCAGAAACATGTTGAGGTTAATTAGTGAGTCTAAATTGTCCGTAGGTGTGAATGTGAGTGTGCTTGGTTGTCTGTGTCTAAGTGTAGCCCTGTGATGGACTGGTTACCTGTCCAGGTGTCCCAGTCAGCTGGGATAGACTCCAGCCTGCCATGACCCTGGTGAGGATTAAGCGGTGTATAGATAATGGATGGATGGATATTTGCATTACTGAGATTACTGGAGAGCTTTCATCTAGATATTTAATGTTAAGCCTGTACATTTGTATTTTATATAGTATTATAGGGTTTGCAGGTCTTAACCGTTACTCTGATATTTTTTACTTGGAAAAAAAAACAAAACACTTGAGGAGCTTACAGTTGACATTTAACCTTGTTTGGTCAATTCGTAACACCAATCTTATATTTCTACTGTAAAGCACTTCGGCTCAAAGCTGTTGTTTTAAACATGCGTTGTAAAAAAAACTTGACAAATCATGTGTTATTGCTGTCTTCTTGTTTGAGCTTTATCTTAACTGTTGTCCTGCTTTTGCTTCTATCAAAGTAAGTCCTTGATTTCATAAATGCTTTATTACTAAAACTAATATTGATTTGGGGATGCATTCTGTGGTGGAGATGTATTAGACATTACATAAACATAAAAAACTAGTTTCTAATATTGTGTCCATCTTGGTCAAACACATAAAGGAGAGTTTGAAATATTATAATAAAACAACAGAGACTAGAGCCAGCTGATGTGAGCGGAACTGAAACCAACGTGTTGACTGTCACAACTCACATGACCGCCACTGAGGCACATCCATCAGCTGATTGCATCTTGTTGTGACAAACCGGGGTGACTCATACCGGGGTGGATGCAGAAGATGAAGCATTCAAGCATGTACGATTCACATTTTAGGTCAGCTGGCCTCCCAGCTAACGGTAGCCTTCATGCGCATAATGGCGATAGCTAGCAGGCTAGCTAACACGCTAAGACTAGCTGCTACTTTCTACATTTCTCTCTAACACAGCACATGTTATCAGCTTTTCACTGTGTTATTATCAAAGACAGGTACATACCAATAATCATCTGTAGAGTGAAACCAGAGGCGGGAGAAGCAAAAAGGTTAAATCATCAGTTACATCTCTGCGCTGCTGCTAGCTAGCTAGCTACTTCATTCAGAAGCTAGTTAGCCCGAGCTAACGCAGCTAGCTAAAACTTAGCATCCATTTTGTCAACTCACCATGTAAACCACGTTCAGGGAACAAAGCGCATTTTTGGAGCAGGTGAAGCCGCCGCAGACCATATTCGAAAAACCTTTTTTTTTTTTTTTTTATTACGGCGGAGTCCGGCGGTAGAAAGAAGACTGAAAAGAGGCTCTGCTGTCCGGCTGTGAGCGGCGGTGATGTCTGGACACAACAGCGGAGAGGGAGGACCGCTGACGTCTGCTGACGTCCGGGAGGCCGCGCGCGTCACCGCCGTGAGGTAAAGCAAAGTCCCAAACATGTCCGCTGCTGCTGCTGCTGCTGCTGCTGGCGGCGGCGAGTCAACCGGCAGCAGATCACACGTCAATAACAACAACGTGTCTGAATTTACAGCACTTTGCACGACTCCGGCACTGTTTTCGTCTTTCTCCGGTAATTCAGGAAAAGTTTCAGATGTCACGTTGAAAGGCAACAGCTGCAAAAATCAGTGTTTAGTTTCTGTGAAGTGAACAAATATGAAAATATGTAAATGAAAAACACACAGAGTCTTTGAAAAGTAATAAAGTTAATCTTGTCTAATATAATTGAAGAAGTTCAATACAAATATGTTCAGACTTTATGCCACATAAAATCTAATATGATCAATACATGTGATTTTATAATAATAATAATAATAATAATAAGAAGAAGAAGAAGAAGAAGAAGAAGAAATAACCTCATGATAAGAAGAAGACACAATAAAACATTTCATTTATTGTGTGAATGACTGTTTTTGTTGTATTCTGAAGACAGTTATGGGTGTATTTGGTCAAGTCAACACACCAAACATTAGTAAATAGTAAAACTCTTGGAGACAGTTTATGTGCTGGAGGTGGCTGTGATCCGGCCACTATCACGAGAACCAGAAGAAGAAATTCAAAGAGCCTCTCCTGTCATCAAGTACCATATCACCCGATGTCCGTGGCCACGTATACAACATTTATATCATTTTTATGCTGTGTGCCTACGAGTTCTGGCCTCTAAGGAAAGAAGATCAGAATCGCCTGGAGCAGAATGAGAGATCCATGCTGAGATGGATGAACCACATCAAGCCTGATGTGCACATGAGCTCAAGTGAGCTTCGTATGAAATTAGGCCTTGTTGATCTTCATACAGAGATCTGGTACCGCCTTCTAAGATGGTTCGTCCATCATAGTACTCAGTGCATCAACAAAATCAGGAACTTGGAAAGACGTGGAGAGCCAGGAACACATGGGAGGAGCTGGTGTCAGGGGACCCAGCGGATTGGGGGCGAATCCCTGATGATGCCCTCGATAGAGATACATGGCGAATGGAACTGTGAAGCCACCGTGCATCGTCTGACACACTGCTAGTGTCCCAACAGATGTTAACGGGATAAGTAAAAAAAACTGGTTCTCTGATCATCTTCCACCAAAATGCAGCTAAATCAGATGTTTCTCAACCAGACATCTGCAAACGTTCAGAGAACATAGACACAAGGATCAGTTCACATCTCATCTTTAAATGTG